CTTTAAATATCAGTAAAACAAGATACAGCAGCTATAAATGAAACAAATGATTTCTTGAAGTTAGTGAATACAACTTCTCTGTCTCCAAGAGCACAGTGTTCCCCTGCCTCACTTTTCTATGGTGCTTATTAGCTATGAAGCCCTAAGAGCACTGAGTCCACTGCCTTAACACAGAATATACTGGCCAGCATGAATTTTTATTTAGACACAAAAGTTTCTGATCAAAAACATTTTAGAGTCATAAAATATACTTTAAAAAGAGATAAATGAAAGTTAGAGTTTGTATAAAACAACTCCAACTCTAAGGAAGAGACATTTAAACTATTTCAAAGACAAACCAATATTTTTACCAACTTTCTGCTTAGAACAATTAACAAAATAATGATTGGATGATCTTTTAAAATTTTCTAATAGGTATAATTTCTAAACAATAACTATTTGCATTTTCCTGAAACACTTATTCATGAAAATATTGGCTGTAACAATTTTAAAGTAAATAATTTAACACAAAACCTCCGTGTGAAAAGTAGTCTTTCTCACATGAGTTTTATTAAAAGTACCTTCCTACATATTACTTCATGCTAAGTTAAATTTACTAACTTCTGTTTCTGGATGGCTTGGAATTAGGATGACCAACTGTCTCAGTTTGCCTGCAAATGAAGAGTTTCCTGGGATGGAGGATCTACAGTGCTAAACTGGAACAGCTGGGCAAACTGGGACAGGTGGTCACCCTCACTGAAGTAAACTTATGGCCAACCAGTGTTCCCTCGGAGAACAAAATTAAGTAACACACAGAAACCATTTATATGAAGACAAATGAGATCTGCTAAGGCAACAAGAAATGGAAAGACTAAGACTCCAGAGAGAACAACAAAAAAAGTAAGCTAATATTTGCAGCAAATTTTACCTTGGAGGCATCTGCCAATTCTAACAAAGGAAGAAGGTTGAGACTCCAGGCTGCTATAGCAGAGCTTTTAATGGAGACGTAGAATGTTGGATTACAAGGTCAGTCTTTTCCTTCGGGGTATTTACGGAATTCTTAGGCCTATGTGGGAAAGACTCTGAAAAGTAAAGCAGAGTTTCTGGAATTCTCATGTGTCAAAAATTAGCGTTCAGTACATGCCAGAAGAAGAGCCACTAAAAAACATAATCAAGCTCCCAGTTAAAACACATGGAAGGCCAAGGGCAAACAAGAGATGAGCTGAATCTCTTCCAAACTACAACTCAGGCATGAGTTAGCACAGTCACTGATTAGATTAAGGTGATCAGCCATCACTGTCTGCCTAGTGCAGGAGAGAATTTTTTTAACAAAATATCCAGATTTGAGCAAAATTTATTAGGCATGCCATAAGACATAACCACATGAACAAAAACCAAAAGAAAAAACAAAAAGAAGAGGAAGAAAAACCACCTCAGATAACCCAAATATTGGAATTCACTGACAATTACCTTAAAATACAATTAATATGTCCAAGACAAGAGAGGAAAGGGTGGGTAAAATTAAGAATTTCAACAGATGAATCAGATGCAGGCATTCAAGGGGGGAAAAAAGATCTGTAATTTAGAACTTATCAGATGTGTCTGAGAGCAGATGAAACAGAGAAGACAAAATTAGTGAACTCAAAGACAAGTGAACAGAAATATCCAAACTACAGAGAAAATATTTAATGTAAAAAGCATTAAGAGTATAAGAGATACCTTCAGAAGTCTAATAATAAGAGTGTAAAAGATGGGGCGCCTGGGTGTCTCAGTCAGTTAAACATCTGACAAGCTTAGGTCATGATCTCAGGGTCCTGGGATCCAGCCCGAGGGGGCTCTGCACTTGGCAGGGAGTCTGCCTGTACCTCTGCCCCTCCCCCTGCTAATGCTCTCTTGCTCTCTCTCAAATAAATAAATAAATAAATAAATAAATAAATAAATAAAAGAGTGTAAGAGATACCTACAGAAGTCTAATGATAATACATAATTGGAATCCCAGAAGAGAAAAAAGAAAATGGGCAGAATCGATATTTGAAAAGATAACAACTGGGGCGCCTGGGTGGCTCAGTCATTAAGTGTCTGCCTTCAGCTCAGGTCATGATTCCAGGGTCCTGGGATCAAGCCCCAGAGCAGGCTCCCCGCTCAGCAGAAAGCCTGCTTCTCCCTTTCCCACTCCCCCTGCTTGTGTTCTCTCTCTCGCTCTCTAATAAATAAATAATCTTTAAAAAAAAAGATAACAACTAAGAATCTTCCAAAACTGATGAAAGGTACCACCCTATTTTTAGAAAATTCAGGAACCTCAAGCAAAATAAAAATGAAAACAAATAAATCTAGGGAAATTAATCATACTAACACTGCTAAAAACCAGAAAGGAAAATCTTTGCTAATAGGAAAAAAAAAAAAAAAAAAAGACCTATTGCTGTAAGTCTTATGAACTTCTCAAAAAACGATGGAAGCCTAAAGATATGGAATAACATTTTTAAAGTGCTATAACAGCCAATCTAAAATTCTACACAAAAATATCTTTCAAATTTAAACATGAAATTTTTGGGGCACCTGGGTGGCTTAGTCAGTTGAGCATCTGCCTTCAGCTCAGGTCATGATCCCAGGGTCCTGGGATAGAGCCCCATATGGGGCTCTCTGCTCAGTGGGGAGCCTGCTTCTCCTTCTCCCTCTGCCTGCCACTCCCCCTGCTTATGCTCTGTCAAATGGACAGATAAATATTTAAAAAAAAAGACAAAATTTTTTCACAGACACAAACAGAATTTATTACCAAGAAATAGACACTAAAGAAAATATTGAAGGGAGTTCTTCAGGTAATTTCAAAAAAAATTCCAAAGAAAAAAAATGGAATTGTAGGAATGATCAAAGGGTAAATATGAAGGTAGATATAAACATACACTGAATACTGGCAGTATCAAGTAATAATTCTAGTGTGGCTTAACAAACAAAATTAAAATAAGCAGAAGACAGAAGTAGGTAAATGGAATTACAATGTTCTGAGGTTCTAGAATTAGTCACAGGTACATGTTGTAATCTCTAGTAAAAGACTGCATAAATAGACTAATAAATAGTATAACAAGTCAATGATACATATTATAATATCTAGTATAACAATGTATAACTAGGGTAATAGAAAATAAAATGAACCATAAAATTCAAAAGAAAAGAAAAAAGAAAAGGCACTTAAAATTGCTTGATCACACAGAAAACAATTAGTAAAAGAGTAAATATGAACCCAAATGTAGTAGTGTTACATTAAATATAAGTGGACTACAAACTTTATTTACTAATATTATCATATTGGATAAAAGAACAAAACCCAAATATAAGCTAATTACAAGAGACACACTTTAAAGAATACAGAATGTTTGAAAAGTATGATGGAAAAATACATATCGTACAAATACTAACTGAAGAAAACTCATAGCTAGTCACAGAGAACTCCAAGACTCAAAAAAGAAAATCGCACATAGATGACAGTATAAGAAAATAAAGCAAATGGTTTTAAATATAATAAAAGCAAAATCTCAAAACTCTATCCCTCACTATATCCAATCAAGAAAGTATTACACTTCAATGTAGCTGATATAAGGAGGAAACTAACTACAGCATGTCAATGGGCCCATCAAGTTTTATTGGTAATATTTAGAAATATTAGTTGGATACAAGATTTTGACTACATACCTCAAGTAAGAGGAATGATTTAAATGACAAATTAATAAATATCTATCCCCAGAGCAGGACAATTCATTTATCTACTTAATGAACCAACCATTTCTTACTGTCTGGATTTTGCTTAAATACCCAGAAGCCAGCATATTGCCATGTGTTTGTTAAATGAACAAGGTGGGTAGGTTTGAACCTAATGTATTTGGGCAACCATAGAGCACAACTTGCAAGAAAAGCAGCCTCTGGAGTAGTAATCTGTCATTTGGCAACTTGAGTTTAAGCAATATAGCCAGATTAGGAAATGATCTAAAACAGGGGTCAAACTTTCTGTGAAGAGCCAGATAGAAAGGGGCACCTGGGTGGCTCAGTCGGTTAAGCGTCTGCCTACAGCAGGGAGTATGGCATCATGAAACTCATCTCCAGCCACCTCTGTACTGAATGTCAAGATTCAAATACCAAAGAGAAGGACAACTAAACACCCCTCCTTAGGTACTATACCCACCTTCACGTTCAGCAATCAAGGCCTAAAAGTGTTTAAGGGATAGATTGGGAAGGAGAGTACATAGCCAAAAACCAGTTACTACATTACAGATGAGGAAATTGAGCCAACATTTAAATTACTTGTTCAAGGTCTCACAGGCCCTCCTCAACATGCAGAACACAATTCACTTAGTCTAAAATTAGTTTTTTCCCACCTCTGCTGGAACTCATATCCTAGATTCTCTTCATCTTTTCTAATGCAGGTGTGAGGGATGGGTGGCATATAACTACTTCAAGATACAGAAGACAAGTCAATAAATTTCTCCTACTATTCCTCTATCTTCATTATGTCTTGATTCTGGCTTTCTTCAATCTCTCTCATGAACATGTTCGAGTTATAATTGTTTACCAACACAGTAAAATTCCTACCTATAACAAAAAACTTCCCAGAAGAGATGCTAAAGCCACATAGATGCTATTACTGCCTCTACTGACCCGTACCTCTACCAACTCCCCCCTTCCCACCCCACTCCCCAGACTACACACACCTCTTTTGGTCTTGTATTTTCCTGCTGGTTAGCAATATCATGGTCTGCAATGACGGGGGCAAAAACTACCAGGGTTTTCCAAACACCCAATTAGAATCCTATTTTGCCCTTCAATTGGAGAAGCTTAATCAGCCCACTCTCCTAGTTTTCATACTTAAAGGTTAAGATGAGGCAGAAAAGTTGCATATAGAAGCCTAATAGAATGTAAAAATAAGTCTATTATTTGAAAGTCTTTTCAGGAAGTGGTAGTGGGCCTACCTGCATTATGATGATCATCTGTCACAATATAAGAAATAGAAAAGATGGGAAAATCTCATTTTTTAAAAAATGGGATGATTCATGAATTTGCATGTCACCCTTGAGTGGGGCCATGCTAATCTTCTCTGTATTCTTCCAATTTTAGTGTATGTACTCCCAAAGCAAGCACAAGGGGAAACCTCATTTTTAAAATAACTTAAATATTAACTTGGAATATATTAGTTCTAGTTGTCCTGGATCCAAAATTCCCTAATCTAGCTCTTAAAGTGAAGTCAAGTGAAAAATATTTTTTATATCACATGTATTTATAGAACTCTTCAGCATGAATTACATATTCTAGTTGCACGTTTTTCAAACTTACACTTCTCATGGAAAATCTTAATATTTATCTATAATTTATCTTTATATTAAACAATTTTATATTAAAATGTGTATTTGTATTGCAAATAAGATGTTGAAATCTTGGCACATTAATGCTTTATAAGTATTACATTAAACATAATTCATGAAGCTTTCTGTTCAAGACTGACAGCACACACACATACACACAATTTCCCTCCTTAGACTCCATTAAAATAATAAAGTATAAAAGGATATAAGCCAAAATTGAAAAGATACAGATATTTAAGAGAGTTCAGGAAACTTCTAGATGCAGAGTGCTGAGGTAGAGCCAAAGAAGACACAGGTAACAAGAGAAGATGCTTCAGCTAACCTGCCCAGGCAGAACTCTGGGGTTTCTCCTGAGTCCAGACAGCCATGTACAATGGAAGAAGAGAGTAAGATAGGGCAATAACAAAATGATTAACAGGTGATCTATGTGTGGGACAGTCCATTCCCCAAAACTTTATCCCAGAAAAAAGAAGTGTGGGACTAGAGATTTTTGTCTGAAGAAATTAAATAAATTACACAGGGGATTAGGTCACTAGAATGGATGTACATAGCATATGATAAAGTCCAGATATATGGATATAAACATATATCCATACATGAGACTCTGAAAAGTACAGAGAAAATAGCAGACTAGCTAGAAACTTGAGACCAAAAAAAAAAAAAAAACAGTGATGAGTACCCTGGGTTTTCTCTTTTCCATTTCTATCCTAGACTAGATACTAGAGAAGGCGGCAACTCAGAAACACCAATAAGCACAGACAAGAGAGGGAAAACCAAAAATCCTCCAAAAAAAACCTACTTTCTCTAACCAAAAGTGGTATCCTAGCAAAAAAGAAAATTTTAGACAATAACCAATCTGTTCCAAGCCAAAGAGCACAGATAAAAACTGCAGCCTCTGTTCCCCAACCCCCCCTCAGCAACTATCAAGTAGGCAGCCTAGACTTTTACTCTTGCAGGGACATAATGTAGCATTCTAAATCCAGCTGTCAGGGTGGTGTCGGAGAAGACCATCCTGAGCCCAGAATTTCATCCACAACTAGCTGTAAGAAGGAATCCCATCCTCTCATTGTTGGGGAGGTATCAGAACCTACTGGAGAGGCAGGACCCTTACCACTCAGTAGTAATGAGAGTATACCCTCACAGTCAATGAAGACCTCATAAGAAGTCTGGTATTTCACACTCATGCTGTGGTAACAAAAAACTCTATCCCTTCCCCCTCGGGTAGTACTGGAGACTAGTCAAGTTGGGACTTTTCACCATTGCTCAAGGGTAACACGACTACCTTCCCACATCAGTGGAGTACAGGTGAATAGCAGTAATAAGGTGCCTCCTCCCTCTCCCAACCAGGATGGTATGAGCAAAGACCTGGGGGGAGCCTAAACTCCCACACTTTACCAAGCAATAATGAGACAGCTCCTTCCTTCACCATCACTGGCCATCAACAGAGGCTAAGTAGAGAACTTGGACTTCTACCCTCACCAGCAGTAACAAGGCAGTACCATGTTTTATCCACTAGAATGGTGCCAGAGAAGTCCTGTGATAGCACAAGATTTAAATAAAATCCAGTCTTGTAACGTCCAAGTTTCAATAAAAAATATCACACATAATACCAAGTATCAAGATTGCAAACTGAATGATAAAATTTCAACACCAAGATGGCACAGATGTTAGAATTATCAAACAAGGATTTCAAAGCAGCCATCATAAAAATTCTTGAGTAATTACAAACACACTTAATGAAAAAAAATAGGAAGTCTCAGCAAATATATATAAGATATAAAGGAAAAAAACAAATGGAACTTTGAGAATGAAAAAGTTATTAAACTTTATTATTAAACTTAAAAAAAATGGGACAACAGAATAGGGAAACAGAAGAAATAACCAGTGAACTAGAAGACAGAACATAGAAATTACCCAATCTATGAGAAAATACACACCCCCCTTCCCAAAAAAAGGCCTCAGGAATTTATGGAACTTAAAAGAAAAAAAAAATCTGACATTTATGTCATTAGAGACCCAGAAAAGAAGATGGATGGGGCTAAAAAGTATTCAAAAAAGCAATGACTGAAAATTTCCCAACTTTGGCACAAAAAAAAAAAAAAAAAACACACACACAGATTCACAGTGTGACCTCCAAATAGGATATATGCAAAGACATCCATGCCACAGCACATCATATCAAACTTCTAAACAAAGACATAAAACAAAAATCTTGAATGTAGCCAGAGAATGTATTAATTACACTTTTTTTCATCAAGGAGCATGGAAGCCAAAAGGAAATGATACAACATTTTTCAAATACAAAAGAACAGTCAAACCAGAATTCTCTATCCAGTGAAAATATACTTCAGGAATGATGGGGAAATCAAGACATTCTCAGATGAAGGAAATGGAGAAAATTTGTCACCAGCAGCCCTACCCTAAAAGAATAACAAAAGGAAGTTCTCTAAACAGAAAGGAAATGATAAAAAGTGAAATCTACAAGACAATGATGAAGAAATCAAAGATGTAAATAAACAGAGACATTCCATACCCATGGACTAGAACCCTTAACATAGTAATGATGCCAATTCTCCCCAAATTGACACACAGGTTTGATGCTATTCCTATCAAAATTCTGGCAAGATTTTTTTTTGTAGATACAAACAAAATCATTCTAAAATTTATATGGAAAGGCAAAGGAACTAGAAGAGCCAAAACAATTTCTTTTTCTTACCAGTTTTCAACAAGCATTTAAGTCTTTATCCCTGATAACTTTTTAAAAACATGGAACGCTTCAAGAATCTGCAAGTTATCCTTGCGCAGGGGCTATGCTAATCTCTGTATCATTCCGATTTTAGTGTATGTGCTGTGGAAGCCAGCATGAGCTAAAACAATTCTGAACAAGAATCATGTGAGAAGAATCACTCTGATTTCAAGACTGATTATATAGCCACAGTAATAAAAACTATGTTATTGGTGAAGGGACTCAGACAAAGTAATGGAAAGAGAACTCAGGAACAGCCCAGCCCACACAATATGACTAACAGATTTGTGACAAAAGTGCAATAGATCCTCAGCGAAGGAGATACAGTCTTTTCAAACTAATGGTGCTGAAATAATATTTACAGACAACAAAATAAATCTTGACCTAAATCTCATACCTCATGTAAAAATTAGCTCAAAATAGGGGCACCTGGGTGGCTCAGTTGTTAAGCGTTTGCCTTCGGCTCAGGTCATGATCCCAGGGTCCTGGGATCACCCCACATCGGGGTCCCTGCTCCGAGGGAAGCCTGCTTCTCCCTCTGCCACTCTCCCTGCTGGTGATCCCTCTCTCGCTGTGTCTCTCTGTCAAATAAATAAATTCTTTTAAAAAAAAATTAGCTCAAAATAGATCAGACTTAATCTATTATGCCAACTTAATCTATTATGCATTATAAAACTTGTAAAAAAAATAATAATATAGGAGAAAATCTTCAGGACCAAGGGCTTGGTTAAGAGTCCTTAAACATTACACCAATACCATGGGGGGGAGACCCAATTAAGATGGGCTTCATCAAAATTAAAAACTGTTGATCTTCACAAGACCCTGTTAAGAGGGTAAAAGGCAACAGAAAAAAAAAAATATTGCAAACCACATATCTGACAAATGACCATACCTAGAATAAAGAACTCTTAGAATTCAACATTGGAAAAACAAACAATCCAAATAGAAAACAGTCAAAAGAAATGAAGAAACATTTTACCAAAGAGGAAAAATGGATGAGCAATAAGCATGAAAATATGTACATCATTAGCCATTAGGGAAATGGAAAAAAACATGAGACACACTCCCATTAGAACAGCTTAAAATAAAAAATAACAATACCAAATGTTTATGAGAATGTGAAGAAACTGGATCTCTCATAAATTGCTCATGAGAATATAAATGGTACAGCCATTCAGGAAAACAGTTTGGTCATTTCTTTTTAAAAAACTAAAGATAAACTTACCATTCAACCCAGCAATCACACTCACAGGCATTTATCCTAGAGAAATGAAAACTTTTATCTGTATAAAAACTTGTACACATTGGTTCATAGAAGCTTTATTCATAATAGCCAAAAACTGGAAATAATCAAAATGCCCTACAATGGGTGGATAGCTGCAGAAACTGTGGTACATAAATACCAGGGAATACAATTCAGTAATAAAAAGGAACTGCTACATACAACAACTTGGATGGATCTCAAGGAAGTTATGCTGAGTGCGGGGGAATCCCCAAAAGTCATTACCTGTATGATTCCATTTAAAATGATAAAATTATAGAGCTGGAGAAGAGATTAGTGATTGCCAGGGCTTAGGGATTGGAGGGGAGGGGTGTCCATAGAAGGCTAAATGTTAACTATAAAAGGACAGCATGATGGAGAACTTTCTGGTGATGAAATAGTTCTATATCTTGACTATAGTGGTGGTTACACATGATAAAATGGTACAGTATTACACCCACATGGTGCTAATATCAAATTCCTGGTTTGGGTTATACTATAACTATTTAAGATGTAACCACTGGGGAATAAAAATAAAAATAACTATCAGATAATACATAATAAACTTCTAAAGGACTCCTTAGGGGAAATGAAACACCCATCTATTAAACCTACTTAAAATAAGTCAGTCTGCTCTACTATTTTTTTTGGCTCGTAAAGAGAAACAGGTTTTGAAAACACCTTGCTGATGTTTCTAGTTGAGAAATGTCAATAATAGCATAAAGTAAAAATTGCATTATGTGACAGCATTAGTTAAAATCAGTATTAAAAT